GCCCTTGATGATTGCAGGTGCTTGTAAATATGCGAAGTTTTGTCCGACAAGAGGTGCTCACGAACTCGTGTACAAATGTGGCGAGTGGTCTCACCAATATAACTGACATTACAGCCAGCACATGAAAATTTATATATGACACGCGAACGTAGACCTAGCGGTACTGAATCTTTCACACTGAACATGTTTCTGAGTTTAAACGTACTGAAGACTAACTTAACATCTAAATCAGCTCTACAATAACGTTTGAGTAGTTGTCTTAACTTAGTCTGAGCGATGTTCGAAAACCGACCAACATAGGGAAGTTTATAATAGTGCGCAGAAGGTTTACCGGAGTTAGAAGAGGCGTTCTGCCCAGTAGGAGAAGGATTATTTTTCTTCGCTAGATACCTGTAAATGATCTTGTCTATGACCCAAGATGGAAAACAATTTTTCCGTAGCAAGAAAATAAGTTTCTTGACATCCAGATGAAAACCAACCCAGGAATTATTGATCTTATATGCTCTGTCAATCAACGTTCTGACTAAACCTAATTTGTAAATCAAAGGGGCGAAGCTGAAATAATTAGTAAGAAGACCAGTAAACGTCTTCTTGCGATATACACTAGTGACGATGGATGTATGATTGTTGTCTAACAATATGTCTAGAAACGATAGTTTCTTATCAATTTCCTATTTCATTGTGAAACGAATACTAGGATGCCTGGCGTTGATATAATCAAAGAACACGAGCGCGTCCTCCTCGCTATTGAACAAACAAAAGGTGTCATCAACATAGCGTCTGTAGAACAGAACTTCAAAGAATGAATAGTTATTTAGCCAGTTTTTTTCATGATGTCCTATAAAGAGGTTTGCAAGTACTGGAGCAAGTGGGGACCCCATGGCAACCCCATCTATTTGATCATAAAACACACCCTTAAACAAGAAACCAGTCTCAGCTGTTGCGAAGGTAAAAAGCGTTTTTAGGTCAGCGGCGTTTATCTTAACACCAGAGTTACCTTGATAAATGTATCTGATCGCCAGATCAAATTGATAACTTAATCAAATTATATAATCAAATTGATTTATATTAAGTATATAAATTCAAATGTACAACAGTAAAATGCTCATTTGCAACTGAAAATGACATGAGAATGTCGAAACATGTCTTGTAAATTTAAAATCAAAGTTGTTGTTTCTTTTTTGAGAGTTATTGTCACTCTGCTGTCTTTACGTCCTTTTGGTAAATAGATAACTGAAAAAAATTATGTACAAAGGTACCTTGTCTGGACAGAAGGCTTACATAATGCCTCTCGTGAATGTGACCGACCACAAATGGATTGGTGTTGATCACCGTGGGATGGTTCGGACTGATCATGACCTCACAGCCAAGACTGCTGATCACACGAATGCAAGTCTTGTAACAGTTTGCAGCAGCATAAAGGATCACGTGATCGCCCCAGGTGCCATCTTTCTCCATGCTTCTCAAGTAATCAATCCATGATCGATATCCATAGACAAAGGTGAAGAGCTCTGTTCCATCATTCTTGAGGAATAGAACAAATGATGACTTAGAAATAGATGAACTGTAACTTCGTCTAAGAGTAAATTAAGAAGCTACCCATAAACTTAATTTTGTGGCCGACCTAAAAGCTGTGATAAAAAAAGGTAGCAATTTTTCAGACACAAAATCAATGTAGACATGTTTATGCTGCACTGGAAACCATTGGACGCTCAAAGATGTCATAACAAAAATGCTGAGAAATACACATACTCTTTTCAAAATTAATGCAACAGAGTACATTGACACTGACTTACCAGGTTAGGATATCTCTCCAGGAACTGGACCAAGTCACAACGCAATTGACTGTGTGAAATCTTGATTCCTTTCGTGATCTGCAGTTGATGTGATAATGTGTAGAACATGCAATTTCCAGAAGCTGGGTTATCAAAAACCACAAATCCTTTATCGGCGGCAGTTTTCCGCAGATCCATCGATAGGTCACTTTGCTGGGATCTGTCTTTGTTACTCTGCATTTGTAGTATGTCACGCATGATACTTACCTCTGCATAAACGAAGAGAAGGAAAATAAGAAATATACAAACGTGCTCTACTTCACCACTATATTCTGAGATTTATCTTATTTACTAGATACTCTGTTCTTCTTCATCTGTGTTTATTAAAAAAGTAAGATGATTTCTTACGTGGTAGATAGCCTGAGGATGTTAAAAACACTCGATAGCCCCGTCCGTGGATTAAGATACGGTCCTTCATTAGTTTCGGTTACTACGGCAACTTGATGATAAGATTTTGAATCCGTACAAGGAAAAGTAACGGAAACAGGCAACGATAACATTCCGTTGACAGAAATGGAGCGGAAACTTGTCGACATGTTACCGTTCAGGAATCAACGGAAACACGACAGGTCCATGGAGGAAGTGAATAGGGTTTCGTCCTGTGGTTCATTCAGGCCTATGGAGAGCGAACTATAATACGTGAAATAAGGCAAGATATTATGACCTTACAGTGAGAGCATGTGACGTAGTCACCATTTTGCGAAAAAAATATATTTACATCAGATAGTGCAGGTCTGGGTTTGCAAAATTAATGAATATAATGATCAATGAATATCTTATAATTTCTAATCATGGCAACAACCACCGGGAAAAAAAAGAACACCAAAAACTTACCATTTCCTTTTCCAAATTCGGACAAAGCCTACAAAGCGGGGGGCAAATATACGCAATTTCAGGAGCCCGAAGGAACAACAAACGTCAATAAATGAAATAGATAAATAATTTAATGACAACGATGATAAATTAGGTGATTACAGTGATGAAAGAAACAAAGCGAACTTGAAAGTGGCTTAGAAAGCTCTTATGAAATAAAAGGAACGTGAGACACTTGTGTAACACGCCCGAACGAAAACAAGCTCGTGAATTGGTGAGGATGTAATCTGCACTATTTTCGAGGTCAAGAAAATTGTCCATTTTCCCAGGTATTATATGCCATACTTTGAACACTTGGATGCGAAAAAAAAACTGCAATAGGCTTGTATTTTTTTTAGTCATGATCCCAAAGCCGTTAGTTATTTATTTTCCTCTGAATATTCCCAAAGTCGCTGTCAAAATCCAGATGAATCTCTTTCGCTCGCACATCATATCATTCTAGCTGATCGCCCTTGCTATTAACGCTCGTCATTGTCCCCGGCGATTGACGGACGATCTAAAAACATGAGCAACTGGCTGCTCCATCTCACTAGTCTTCCTTAAAAGGATCACTCTCAGCAGCAGCTCCGAAACTCTGGAATGGCGTACCTATGAAGCTTCGTCAAGTAACATCACTGAACAGTTTTAAATCTCGACTTAAAACCTATCTTTTTAAGAAGTATTTTTGTTGTTTGTACCATAGTTCATTTTATTCTCACAGTAATGTACTTTTGCTTTCTCTTAAACATGATTGTAAAGCGCTATTTATCAGCACATGTAAATACGCGCTATATAAATTGGTAAATTATTACTATTATTATTGTTATTATTTTTCGGGGAGAGAAAAATAAACAAAAAAGGGACACAAATCTTTTAACTGAGTTCATTTGTTTAAATGTGAGATTAACATTAAAAGCAACATCATTTTGTACATATGAACATAATCCTAGAAAAGACTGACTGGGAAATGCGGATGATCCCTAAATATTTGGAGGTAAACTACGCAAGTGCCTTTCTAATATAAGACAGGGTGGTAAACCTACAAACTGGAGCTCCACTTTAAAGGCTTGGTTAAATCTGTGCATCAACTATCACTTAGCCTAACTTAGATTCACTGACCTGAGTCCAAGGATCCAATTTTTCCTGACAGAAGAAGGGTGCATCATGAGTAAAGAACTCACAATCTTTACTAGTGCTTCTTAATGAAATGTAGTGACCACAGTCAAAATGGCCACAACCTCGCTGCTTGTGCAAAATACAAATGCCAGGTTTCT